AAATTTTACCGATACAGTACGTAATAACTTAAATATGTAGATCTGAGATCATTGCACTGCATTCAACTTCAATCATGGTTTATGATCCGAGTACACTTTCAAATATTAACGAAGTTAAAACTACCCATATTGACATAAATTTTAATGTTGATTTTGAACGTAAAATTATTGATGGACTTGTTACTCTTAAACTTGTTACACTTGTCGATAATGTCGAAAAATTTATTCTTGATACTAGACATTTGAACATTAAATCTGTTTCTTGTTCCGGTGTGGAATTGAAAGTATGTTTATAAATATTCTAACGAAATGATTGAATTTTAGTCATTAAGTCTTATTATCTTTGGTTTTCAAGCATCATTTGGCAGATAAAAACGAAAAATTCGGTTCCGCTTTACATATTCAATTAAATAATAAATTATCAGCTAATACCGAATTCGATTTAGTTGTTAATTACAACACTTTGGAACAAGGAACTGCTGTTCAATGGCTAGAACCTGTGTATTTTGTCTTTTCCATAATGTTTATATTGATTTATTGAAACAAGAATCTAAGAATTTATGATTTTTATAGTCAAACCACCGGAAAGGCACACCCTTACTTGTTTACTCAATGTCAAGCAGTAAATTTCAAAGTTTATCATTATATATATACTTATCGTACCGTTTTTTTAGATATTAATTTTTATATTGACATTATTTAATAGATTCATGCTCGATCTCTTTTGCCATGTCAAGATACACCCGCATTTAAAATTTCCTACAATGCTTGTGTTGAAGTTCCAATACTTTTACGTGCTTTGATGAGTGCTATTGAAGTTGGTGAAACAATAAATGTAGAAAATAATACCAAGGTTTATAAATTTGAACAAACCATTAAAATTCCATCATATTTGATTGCTTTGGCAGTTGGTAATTTAGTGGGTAAAGAAATTGGCCCTAGATCAACTGTATGGACCGAACCGGAGGTAATTGAAAGTGCTGCTTCGGAATTTGAAGATACTGAACAATTTATCGCGATTGGAGAACAACTTCTTACTCCTTATGAATGGAAAAAATACGACCTATTGGTTCTTCCTGCATCATTTCCTTAGTAATTATTTTCTTATTGTATTTCTCTTTTTTGTTTAAAAATTTTTTTTCTTCATTTCTTTAAATATAAATACCATTATTTATTGTAGTGGAGGAATGGAAAATCCCTGCCTAACTTTCGTGACTCCTACATTATTGGCTGGTGATAAATCACTTGTAGATGTTGTAGCGCATGAAATCTCCCATAGTTGGATGGGAAATCTTGTAACAACCTCCAATTGGGTATGTTATTCTAAAGAGTTTGATTTTTAGTGATTTAAATACATTCTAATGATATATTGGATAATAAACTTTAGGAACATTTTTGGCTTAACGAAGGCTGGACTGTATTCATTGAACGAAAGATTATGGGTAAATTAATTATTTGTAAATTTTGTATTATAAATTTGTATTAACATTATTTGTAAAATTTG